GTTCAACAGCTCAGCTAGATTTGTATCTGTTGCATATATTGGGGTTCCCTGAAGAGTCTTATTTATTAAAAAAATTCCTGTACTAAAGGAAAAATAAGTTTGAAGATCAGTGTTCAAAATTAGTCTGCATACTGCTGCCAAACCAACTTTTTAAAACACTTCTTGTTTTATAACTTCCTTGCTAAAGATCCTTATCGGTTACTAGCAATATGTCTTACATTCAAATCTCTTTATACGGTGGGAAAATGCTAAGGGGATAATCATGCTTCCTGTTATTATTCCACATCATGTTCTCACTATTCTAGTCGAGCTCCACTGGCCCCTCAACATTATTGGTCAGTATTGTTTCCCGGCCATTCCATATGTGTCCTTTTCCTTACTTCCTTTCTTTGCTTTGCCTATTTGAGTCTGATTTCTGCTTCCTAGCTCAAGTCTTACCTCCTCCTTGAAAACTTGTTCTATTCTAAGCCCAACTGATCTCACCCCTTCACCATATTATGCCAAATTTAAAGCCAGTATCTCCAAGTTAGGCAGCTAACTTTCTCTTACTGTTTCACACTTTTGTTTTCTGAAGTAGATTTCAGGCCTACTGATGGTAGGGATTTTATACTTGATAGTCTGTTCCCTTACAAGTGTTTGTGTACCACAAATAGGACATTAGCAATTGGTAAATAGGAGAATGATGTCAAAATCATCTGAAAGTCCAGTTGATACACGTGTGAATTTTCTCAGCTCTTTAAGTTTTGAAGTGATCATGAACAAACTTTCTCACAATGAAGTAGAAGTCTTAGAAATAAGTACTGATAATGAAGCTGTGAAGACTTTGCACCGCGTGTTTTTTAAAAGTTGATGACTTCTTAAATTAGATTTTTAAATCTGATGAAAATAGCACCTATTAAAAGTGAATGCCCTTGAGGACCCACCTCAGGAAGGAGGAAGCATGAAGGCTACCAAATACTGATGACTATGATGCTGAGTGCAAATGCCAGTGGAGATTTAGCCACATGAGTGTTTTTATTAGGATGGGTATTGTTTTCATTAGTGCTCTGATTACAAACTTGCATTGGATTTATGTGGTCTTCTCTAATCATATTTTTCCCATAAGCCCCTGTTATGAGGTGTGCAGTTTTGCAGAAGAGGAGTGTTATGGGTTAAATGTGTCCCCTCAAAGTTCACTATTGGAAACTTGATCCCCACTGTAATAGTGTTAAGAGGGTGGGGAATCCGATTGTTATTTGAAAGGTGGGGCCTTTGAGAGGTGATTGAATCATGAGGACTGCACCCTAGTGAATGGATTAATCCATTTATGGAGTAATGGGTTGTCATGGTGTGGTTCTGCTGGCTTTATAAGGACAGCAAATGAGAAGGTTAGCTCTCTCTTGCTCAGCCCATTCTCGCCATGTGATAACCTGCATTGCCACGGGAATTTGTAGAAAGTTTCCACCAAGAAGAAGGCCCTTACCAGATCTGTTCCCTGGACCTTGGACTCCTCAGCCTCTGAAATGTAAGAAATAAATTTCATTTCTTTATAAATTATACACTTTCAGGTATTCTGTTATAAGCAACAGAAACAGACAAATGCAAGGAGATTCTTCAGGAAGACATATGACATTAAAGCAGAATGTCTGGCACTTATTTTGATCTGCATGACATCTAGTTTGTGTTAGCCATGTAGCATATGCTTAATAAATACTTGTTTATTCTTAGGCATCCTTTAATGCATAAATATTTTGCTGTGACTCTGGAGGTAGTTATTTCTCATTTTTTTCTAATCCATGTTTCCTTTCGTTTCTCTATGAAAGACCCAGATTATTCAGATGAGAGCACCCAGCAGGATGGAGACACAGAAAACCTGAGGGATACTATAAGGATCATCAGAAACCTCTGGGGTAATAGATGGCTCTTGGATTAATAGCCACATCTATTAAGGTCAGTTTGAAGAAAGATAGAGCCTAGCAATCTTTTATCTTTCTTCTCTTCCACAGCCAGCTTTTAGATGCTGATTGGGTGCTACACTCATGAGAAGCCAGAGGGAGAGACAACAAGATCAGTGTGTCTAAAATAGATTTTTGATACCCTAACTGATGGTGGTAGCCTCCTTCTTTCTTCATCTTCGGAGAAAAGATGTTTCTCCAACTACCAGCCTATTTGTGTGTCCCAAGAAGGGAAAAATCAAGGAATGTAGGTGCAGCGAGATCAGCACTAGGACTACAATCAGTGAGGTGCTTGGTTCATCATTAGTGGACCAAGCGCCCTTGCTGGAGAGTGGCGGTTCTCCTCGTGTGTTAGCTTCCAAGAGAGGCCAATGACCCTGCTGCCTGAGGGAAGGTTTTTTTTTTTTGTTTGTTTTTAACTACCGTTTACATTAACTGGAGCAAAATGCTGAAAAACAAACATTGACAATTAAGACAGGGGCTGAGATAACCACAATAAAGTCAAATGTAGCCACATCAGGGACAAACTTTTTCACTTTTTGCAGAAAAGATTACGGATCTTTTACATGTATCTCTGATTGGATATCAAATGTAGCTAAGCCTGGCCTGAGGAGAAACCCAACCTTACATTCGAAATAATATCAATCCATTTTCAAGTCTATTTTCTACACTCCAAACATAAGTCTTACTCATATTACAATGACCCACCCATCCCCCTTTTAAACACCAATGAAACTTACCAGTAGGAGCCTTCATGATCTGGAACCTCCTTAACTGTTCTGCTTCTTCTCTTGCCAACAGTATCCCACCCCCTACTACCAGTTTCTTAACTATAGGGTCTTTGCATATGCTATTGTTATTTCTTTTGTCTGAATGCTCTTCATCTCCTTTTTTGCCTTGTAATTGCTGAATACATTTTTGTTTAATATCCTTCCCAATAGCCTGAAAGCTCCATAAGAGTAAACTACGTTTGTCTTGTTCACCATTGTACCCATGATGCCTAACACAATACCTAACATTTAGCAGGCTGTCAACAAATACTTTACTGACTTTAATCAGACCCATAAGACTCAGCTCAAACATCACCTTCTTTGGAAAGGTGTCCCTGAGCGTCTCTCTGACACTCCATTAGTTACCTCTCTCATGTGTTCCATGGGCTCCCTGTTCATATCTGCAGTACTGTTGTGCAGTTCTTTAACAGTCTGTCTCTCCCAGTAGACTCTGAGGTTCTAATGGCCAGAAACTGTGTCATCTTCATCCTTCTAACCCACAGCACTCTGTTTATCACCTGGTATACTCTAAGGAGCTCAAGAAATGTCTGCTGAGCTGATTACTGAGCAATGTTTGAGCTCGGAGGGCCCTCAGCTCTGGCCCACACCGACGTCTCTCAAGAGAAATTACATGAAAGCATTGGATAGACAGGTCACATCTTTCTGCAGCATCCATTTTTTACTCAATATTTAGGAAGGGAGACATTTAGATAAATTAAATCGTATGTGTGTGTGTTGTAATGAGTCGAATTCAAAATATACATCAAATTTTAGTCAAACAGGGACTTCAACAAAGCAAATTTACCTTGGGGCTCTTTGTCCACCCTGTCTGGGAGCATGTATTCCTTCTTCTGTCCTTGGGTAGTTTACCACCTTGGGAGCAGAAAAGTCACACCTGCATGATTAAAAAGAAAGTTAATGACAACGAGAAAGCTGGAATTAAAACTGTTTTCAGATATCTAATGTTCTTTTCACCCTACTGTCCAAGTTAGTTGCCTCATCACACCTATAGCATGGGCAAATTCATCCTAATGCACTCAATAAATATGTTCAGATATAAATTATATTCAGCATAGCTAAACCTAGGTTGAAGGGGAGAAGGGCAAAAGGAGTCATAGACTGAAGATATCTTCAGTAACAGGCTTATGGACACGTTTATAGACTTGGTATCTAAATTTACTACAGGAGCTTCTCTAGCGTATGTGCTCTTATTCTGTGATGATTGTTCATTCAAATCCTGCCCTGCCCTTCTAATGTTCTCAGTGTCCACCTTTATTTTTAAAGGGCCCCATTTAAGGAGGATGGAAGAAATACAGCGTGGGCCTCTTCCTGAGGAAAAAACATTAGGTTCTACTCAAGCAAAGACTACACACTCAGTGCCCTGATGCTGCTGCACAAAACCACCTAGCATTTGTCTAGGGATTTATATTTTAAACAAAGCTCTGACACACATCATCTTATTCACTTCCCACAACAACCCTAAACTAGTTCGAGAACCTGAAAATAGCCCTCAACTCAGTTGTTAGCTCTATATAGGTGCTTTGGTTAAAGAGCATAACAACCCTCCGGGAATTAAGCGGGTGGCGCCTGCTGCTCCAACTACCAGGCAGGAAGGGAATAAAGGAACGACTGTATTTCTTCGTTCACAACGCAATCATGGCAACAAAATGCACCCACTCTTTCCACTTTGACCCATACAGTCTGCCTAAGCAATTAATCAGCGTTCCCCGTGGTTTTCCTATAGGATGCTAGTTGCCCTGCCAATCAGATCTTCCCAGAGTGTGGCAGGACCACACCTCCGGGGAGGCCTCTGGGAGGGAAGGTTCTTTGGCCTACACCAGTGGCAGCTGATACTGAGGTCGACTCGCCAGTGAAACTCACACGCGAATCGTCCCGGACCTCAGTTTCCCCGTCTCTAAAATGGGCTATCCCTCCTCTTTCTTGACTAGTTCCCTCCCATTTCACGCCAGGCCACTAGGAAGTGAAATCTGTGCTTAACCACAGCTGAAAGTCCTCTGCTAGGCTCCAGTCGCTGCGCCGGGCATGCTCAGTAGCTGGGGCCGGCTCGGCACCGGGAGTAGGAAGAGGCTTTGCGCGCCCGGGCGGCCGACTGCGGGCACTTTGATGAATCACGTGCGTTGAGGCCCTCTTAAAGAGATAGGCACCTACTCTCCCTCCACCCTCAACACCGCCCTGAGGGCGGCGGCGACCGTGGTAATTGCAGCTGCTCGGGGGCAGGGCTTGCCCCGGCGCTGAGTAGTGGCAACGGCGTGGTTGCGTCGGGGGTGCCTGGGAGCCGAGAGTCCCGGGGGGCCTGAAATCGGCAGCTCCCCGGGCAGACACCCTCTCCCTCAGGAGGAGGTGCTACCGAATCAGCGCGGGGCAGCGTGAACGCCTCGAGGGGCTTCCTTAGTTGAGGAGAGGTGGGGTTATAGGGCACAGGTGACAGGGCCGGAGAAAGATGGAGCAGCCCGGGGCGGCGGCGGCGGGAGCGGGAGGCGGCAGCGAGGAACCCGGTGGGGGCCGGAGCAACAAGCGGAGCACTGGGAACCGGGCCGCCAACGAAGAGGAAACGAAAAACAAACCCAAATTGGTGAGTGCTCTCGCAGCCCCCGCCGGCCTTGGGGACAGGGAGAGCCCCGGAATCCTCCTGCCGTTGAACACGGGGGCACCCGGGTCCCCCTCCCAAGAGTGACCGCGACCTCGCTGTGCAACTCGGGGAGCCGCTAAAGCAGCGGCCACGCAGAGGCGCGGAGACGGCGTGGGGGCGGAAGAGCACCCTCTTCTTCACTTAACCCCTTTCTCACTCTTGTCAGCCCCGGAGACAGTGCGGGAAGGAGAAAGCCCCTCCCGCCCCGAACTTAGGGAGACCCCGAGTACTGGGTAGGGCTGTTGTTTGTCTAACTTGTGAGCACGAACCTTCTTTGCGCGATTCCATTCCCCTCCCACGTCTTGTCAGTTGCTGTTTTGCCTCCTAACACTTCGGGTCCCAGGCATGGGAACCTCTCTCCTTTTCAGTCCAAATACTTGGGAGCCCACCTACAGCCTTGCAAATCAAGACAAACACAACGTAGGCCCCCAATCTTTTTACTTTTCCAGAAATCTAAGGAAGAGGCGCCTACGTGCGTTTCCCCCCCTTGCCTCCTTCTCCATGTGCTTTCCCAAGAAACGTTTCTTTGGAAGGGTGGGGGGAGCGTGGGAGTTGGAGGCTGGGTGAGGTACCACCAACTGTCGTGTGTATGTGTAATAGGCATAGTCACACAGTACTTCCACTTAGTTGATTAAGAACGCTCCAAAGCAGTGGGCAGACTCTGCAAGTCTCATCGTCCTGATAGTGTCAACCAGTGGTAGCAGTCCATTTCCTGCCACTGAATGTGCAGGGGAATGAAATCTCTGGGGCCTGGTATTGCATTAGGAAATACTGGAGTTTTCTCAACTCATCAGTTAAAAGGGTTCCTCTTTTTGTAAACTTTCTAATTTGGGTGTCACGATGGGAAAGAATTTTCCTGCACAAATTCAGCAAATACTCGAAGATCATTAGTTTAGATCTGAAGAAGCACAAGCCACATGTTGCATGTCTAGATTTCAGTCTTAACAAGCAACTTGATTATCATAGGGAAAGAAACGATGACATAACTAAAGCCATCTCTTATGGCATGTGGCCATTTGGTATGGACCTGTTGTACTTCTCTCTCAGCTCCTATTTGCCTTTCAATTATGGACTGTCCATTATTGGAAAACAGTGATAAAAGCGTTATCATTTTAGGAAATAGGCAGCCGTCTATTATGTGGGGAGGAATGTGGTGAGGTAGATTACAATGACAAGTTTAAAGTCTCATAAACTCCGTTCTAACTTGAGGCAAATTGAGAACTTGCTTACTTGATGTGTCCTGTTACCACAATATTTACAAATGAAGAACTAAGTCATGGGCTCTTTGTGACTTTTCTATGCTGGCAGGAGTTAATGTGTTTAATGGGTGTCTGCACTATCATGAAACTTAGAAAAGTTTTGTGAGTGTATCACCAAAGTTTAATGTATTTAAAAATATTGATGTTGTGATTTTGAAATTTATCAGTTTGTAGTAAAAGAGTGATCACATTTCCCTTTTTCTTTTTTTTTTTTTTTTTTTTTGGAGCCAGTACAAAACTTTGGTTTAATCAGTGATTAAAAGTTTAAGTAAGAATAAAAGTTAACTGATAGTTTCCACAAATAGTTTGGTACATCTAAGCAAGAACCTTCCACTTTCAAGATGTATGCTCTGGAGAAAAAGCTCTTATCTCTGTCAGTAATAACACCTTGATTATATTCTTCCCTTCCCTTTGGCCATTTGTCCTGTTTTATCTTTTATGTTTTACTTGCTTTGACAAGGTAACTAGATAGTTATGAGGTGGTATCACTTTCAGTTCCTAGCTAACTTTACTGTTCGGTGGTGAACATAGCTTGATATAGAAGAACATGTATTTGAATCCAAGAGTTTGTTAATATCAACATGAATTTTCTTTTTGTTCCAACGTAACTTTTGAGCCTTACATGATTTTACAAGCAGATGTGTCAGTTAATAAAAACAAATTTAGGAGGACATTTCAGCAAGTTTTAAGGCAAACAAGTTGATCAAACAAAAAGACTTGGTAAACTTTTTCGGAAAGTTCATTTGGGATTCTTTTTTAAAAAAATTAGGACATTTTATTTTTACTTTATTGACATATATTGTACATATTTATGGGGTACAGTTATATTTCAACACATGTATACAATGTGTGATCAAGGTAATTAGCATATTCATCATTGCAAAAATTTATAATTTATTTGTGATAACATTTGAGCTCCTCTCTTCTAGCCATTTGAGAACATACAATGAATTATTATTAAATATAGATGCCTAGCACTACTGTGCACCACTAGAACTTATTTTTCCTATCTACCTGTACCCCCCATGTCCCTTTCCCAGCATCTGGTAACCAAAATTCTACTCTCTATTTCTATAAGCTGAACTTTTTTTTTTTTTTTCCTTTTTGTCTTTTTTCGTGTCCGGCAACGGATTGCAACCCTCAGTGTCGCGCCCGTACTGGACCGGGACCGGCAACGGGATCGCAACCCTCGGTGTTGCTCCCACACCTCGCTCAGCCAGTGAGCGGGAACCGGTCTGTATGTGGGGTCCGAACCCTCGGCGGGAGCTCCACCGTGCTCCCAAGCGGCGCACTGTAGCAGTGCGCCACCAGGCCGGCCCTGAACTTTTTTTTTTTTGCTCCCACATGTGACTGAGAACATGTGGTATTTACTTTCTGTTTGCTTTCTGTGTCTGACTTTATTTCATTTAACGTAATATCTTCAGGGCTCATCCATGTTGCTGCAAGTGACAGGATTTCATTCTTTTCATGGCTGAGTAGTATTCCACTGTGTCTATATACCACATTTTCTTTATCCGTTCATCTGACTGTGGATACCTAGGTTGATTCCATATCTTGGCTATTTTGAATAGTGCTGCAGTAAAAATGGGGGAATGCTAATTTGCAGTAAAAATAGGGGTATGCTCTTCAGTATGCTAATTTCTTCTCCTTTGGATAAATACCCAGGAGTAAGATTGCTGGATCATATGGTAGACAATATGGAGGTTCCTCATCTAGAATTCTTAAACTTAAAATTTTGCTAGTAAGACAAAGCTTTACTTAGACTAAATTTTATTATTTTGAGTATGATGTTAATAATCACTGTAATAGTAGTTAATTTTGTGTGTGTGTGTAAAGGAATTGTAGTGTGGAATATAAAAGAGAGCCATATGGTCATAGAAATTATTCGTGTAGGTGATTGTGTGGGATAGGGATTCTTAAACACCTGAAATTATATGAAAAAAATTTGCGTGTATGTAGATACATTTATTTTCTGAGCCCCATAGCTTTCATCAGTTTCTCAAAGGCATACTTCACCTATAGGAGAATAAGATCTGTTGCATTACCAGAGATAGTAAAGGAAATGACAGTTGATTCCACTCTAAGTTACTGGGGAGGCCAGTGATTGAGGGAGAAGGGAAATAGCATTGATCACACAGGTAATTGGTATTGAAGAGAATTCTTCTGAGGGTAAAAATAAGTTAACTGCACAATATCTACATAGTATTAGCTTAGATTAAAGATTCCACTACATAGAAAAATTACCTCAATTGCTCTAGTATAGTGGATTCATAAAGTGTAAGGTGTGTGATTCACTTGTTTTCATTTAGTTCCTCATGGTTCTGGAAACTGGAGATGGAAGGCATAGATATATTCTATAGAGGGGAACTACTTTCATTTATATCCTCAACTTTTTGATGGGTATTAATGAGGAATTTTTCAGAGTGGCATTTTAGGATTGTAACGACTTCTGTTTAAAATTAATTAAATCAAAATCTGAGAAACATGACTTCAATTTTTTCATATATGTAATCTTGTAATGACCCTTTTATTTTGATTATAAAGAAATGTGTTCTGTCAAGTTGAATAGGAGAGCTCTAGAAGTGTTATGAAGGAGCTACATCTTTAATCCCACATATTCAAGGCAGTGACTTAATCATTAGGAGAGGTCAGTGTTAAGATAAAACTAACACCACCCCCCCCCCACACACACACACAAGATGGTGTAGAGTGGCTTGACAGTGTTTGATCTTTTTATATTTTGACTTTGTGTTTCTGTATAACTTCAGAAGCCTTTGGTTCTTTAGACAGTAGATTCAAATTTGTAACTTGAAATAACAGAAGTTAATTTTCTGGTTATTGTATAACTTGCTGAGTATTTGGTTATTTGCTTACAATTAGATAAATCATATTTTGATTTTAAATAATAACTTATGAGCACAATGATTTCATTTATGCAGCACATATTTACTGAGTACCTACTATGTGCTAGACACTAATCTAATGGTTGGCGATATAAAGATGCTTATAGTTTGGTGACACAGACAGGGAAGTTACTTAATGATTTAAAGAGCAGTTTGATAAGTTATGAAAGGAATATGCATAGGAAGATTCTATAAAACTATCATGGAGAGGCATCTAAATTGAATTGGATGGTTGAGTGTGGTAAGGAAAGGCTTACAGTAGGTGACATTTATACTGAGGCTTAAAGATGAGGGCATTAATTGAAGAAGTGGAGGGAAAGTCATTCTAGGTTGAAAGAACAACATATACAAAGGTGGATAGATACAGGAGCATGCCCAATAAAGAAAGTTTGGGTAGATGTGTATGGCTGAAACAAAGGGCGTATATGGTGGACCTGCCAGGAAACAGGGTTCAGATTGTGATGGATCTTTGTATGCCATGCTAGAGTTTCAACTTCTTTCTGAAAGTCAGAGTAAGCCATTGAAGAGATTAAAGCAGGACAGCGAGTGACCTGATTAGATTTGTTTCAGAAAGAAACTTAGTACTATGGAGGATTTTTTGGAGAGGGGTGCCAGAATGGAGGCAGGAAGACTAGGAGGAGCAGAGTGGCATAAAAGAGTTTGATGTTTAGAGTTATATACCTGGATTCCAATCCAACTCATCAACTTACTGGATACCTTTCTCTGCACCTTAGTTTCCTCCAACCACCTATATTGCCTCTCCTTCCTGCCACCCACCCTG